CAGGGCCCATTTCACTTGGCCTTTCCTTGAGCCTCGTGTCATCAGACCTGGGCTCCAGAGGGGCGAAGGGACACCTGTGTTCTGTGTCAGTCACACTGCCTCACAGCAGGGACGTTCCCAGTTTATTCCTCCAGACCCTGGAGACCGAAATTTGAGTCCAGAATTTGGTTTCCCTCTGTGGAGCCTAGAACCACAGCCACTGTGTTCGGCCACGCTGCCCTCACACGAGGGTGGGTTTCTGTCCTTAGACTCTAGGGACACGACAGTAGCCGGGGACACCTTCGCCAGGGAGTGGCTGTCCCAGGGCAGGGGATAGGCCCGCATGCGATGTTGAAATTTTGTGTTGCTTTAACCGCCTTTACTTCCTGAGCTGGAGCTGGCTCCACCCTGAGCAAAAATGTAACTCTGTTATAGGGGAGCCAAAGCCTCACCCAGAGACCAAGTGAACCCCACATTTCTGTCCTCCCTGGGCCTGACCCCCAAGTTCCCTGTGGGCCTAGCAAGGGCGGGAGGGGCAGGAGGGCATAGCACAGGTCCTGGGTTGGGGGCCTGGGCGAGGCTGGTCGAGAAAAATCATCCCCCCTGGATCAGGGGTCTTCCTGGGCTTGTGTGAGAACGACCACTTTTCCAGGGCGGGTCATTCGTCCTAAAGGAGCTCCTGACTCCCCAAACCTTAAAGCTCTCCATTCTAGATACTGTAAGACGTGGTCCCTGGGCCGCGTTCCACCCCAGACCCAGGGGTTAGAAGCGTATCATTGACACTACCACCAATTTGATCTTTTTCTCGGTTGTCCTGCTGTCCCCGCTGTTAACTGACAGTACTGCCCATGGCTACACTTTAAGGAACGCAGGTCATCATCATCAACTAGCAGGCTTTGCTCTCCTTGCTAAGGACAGTGAGGCCACAGAGATAGAGTTGGTTTTGTTCACACTTAGCCTCTGCCCGTCTCAGGTCGGGGGGCCCCTGCCCCTCTGGGTGTCATGAAACTTACATCTTGGACACAGAGACGGAGTTGGTTTTGTTCACACTTAGCCTCTACCCGTCTCAGGTCGGGGGGCCCCTGCCCCTCTGGGTGTTGTCCAGTGCAGCTGGCTATCTCTGGCTGATTGCTCACTGATACCCCTCCCTGAAGAGGCGCGGACACCTGGCCTCATCCCACCTTGGGATTCCAAAAGCCACAGAAAGCTAGCTGCGTGGCCCCCTGCCCTGTGGGTCTGGCCTCAGCCGTGGTCATGGGTGCCATGGAGCTGGGTGCTCTGTCCCTGGCTTGCCCACCGCTCACCGGGCCCTCCTTCCAGGTGAGGCTTCAGGTCCAGAGCCTGGAGAAGCCCCAGTACCGAGGCACCCTGCACTGCTTCCAGTCCATCATCAAGCAGGAGAGCGTGAGTGGCCTGGGCCGGGGCAGGTGGGCAGGAGCGGAGCCAGCCAGGAGGAGGCTGCGGGGCCGGACTCCTGGGGGGGGCGGCGGGGAGAGCTGGGAGCCTGTTGGGGGAATCGGGACTTTGGGAATGGGATGGTGTGACTGCCCAGCACGCTCAGGTTGGGGGCTCTGGCTCTAATAAGGCTCTGTTTGATCCTTAGGAAGCCTGGGGTGGGCTGGGGCTGCCGCCACCTGCAGTGCAGATTCCCAGGGGAGGTAGGCTGGGCTGCCCAGGCCCCAGGTAGGGGGTGGGCACCTGACGCCCCTCTGCCCCGCAGGTGCTGGGCCTGTACAAGGGCCTGGGCTCACCACTCATGGGGCTCACCTTCATCAACGCGCTGGTGTTCGGCGTGCAGGGCAACACCCTGCGGGCCCTGGGCCAAGACTCGCCAATGAACCAGTTCCTGGCGGGGGCGGCGGCCGGAGCCAGCCA